TGGTCTTTCCAAGATCATAATTCCAAATCAGCTATGTGAGGATTATTTTGTACTTCCCAAAAAATAATTGTATCAAAGCCGAGTATGAACTCAGATAGATAATAGGGTACGAAGTCGTCCCTAAGATACCAGAGCCGACTATTCAGTTAGGCCTAGCCGGGTATAAGCCCGACACAACATTGTTGATTTATAGGATTCCTCTCCCGAGGAGGACAAGAGGTGTAACAGTGACCTAATAGCAAGATAAGCGTTACGAAGTCATTAAGGGGCGGTTATAAGCGTTACGAAATTATTAAGGAGGCGGTTACAGACGTTACAGGACGACTTAATGACCATTAGACCAAGGACTTTCCTATATAAAGGGTCTTTGGTGAATGATAAAAGAGAGCTCTCGCTACGATATCTCTCTCTCTCTCTCTCTCTCTCTCTCATAACCTCTCTCTGCAACATGTGCAAGAGAGGCACCATACATCACACAGAGGATCTCTCACATGAAGTAAGGCATTACTCGAGTGAAGCACAGTTGACCGAAATTTTCACCAAAGAATTGAAAATTGATAAATTCCTGAATTTGAGAAAGAAATTAGAAATAGTTCAGATTGACTATTTTTGAGGATGTTCGACAACTTGGATCATGGAGATGTGTTGAAATATTAAATTAGATTTGTTAAAATATTAGATTAGATTAAATTTGATTAGATTTTATATTTAAATATAATCTAAGTTGTGTAGACCTAAGCCCAATTAGGGTTATATATAAATAGTCCTAGTCTGTATTATTATTTGTACAATTCAATAATATAAATCCTTATTTCATTTATTATTCCCTCTTTCTCTACTCACTAAAGTGCCTCACGCACTAACATGCATCTCTTTGAAATCCAATATTCTACACATCAAAAGTTGATTTCTTGAAGATTCTATAAGGGGGAAATCATAGAACAATGTTGAGGTTCGAGTTTATGCAAGTTCGTTGATTGTAGATATGGGGGTGGAAAATGTGATGATCATGATTCATGTTAATGTTATGAAAGTGGTTTGAAAATTATGTGTTCTCTTTGCTACCTTTTGGTGATTCACCATAAATTCTAAAGGATCTTAAAAGTCATGAATAGTTCTACTCATTTTCACCACAAGTTTAAATATTTTTTTTCATGCTCATTGCTCATCAATTCTGGATCTTTTATATTTATGAATGTGGTTGATATTTTTATATTTATCCCGTGTGATATAAATTATGCATTTCTGGTTACATTATCATGCTTCGAATGCAAGTTTGATACTATGAGGATTCGTTTCTAATGCAACAGATTGTTGCCCATAATCTTGCTGAACAACGATTACAGGAAAATTTTAATTCATGGAATTCAATGATTGTTGGGTTGAATCGTAATGGAAAGAGTCATCAAATGCTCTAATTTTTTTGTTGATGTACCACAATCAAATATAGATAATTAAGTATAACATTCTTGTTTAATATCAAGCTTCTCAATGAACTTTATTTTGATGAAGACAAACCATAATGGCAAGAAGGCAAAGATATTGATTAAGCTAAAGCATCAATGGATAAAATTCTTTGATTCAAGCTATTGGCAAATTTCACAAGGTATAATAATAAATCTTGCTATGAACTTAAGTCTTAGATGCTCAATGATCAAAAGAAGTGTTTAAAACTTGTCCAAACTTTTTCTCATGTTTTCTAAGTAAAAAAAATCCATTTTTACTTCTGTGCAATCGATTTACATGTTGGTGCAATCGATTGCATGACTCACATTTTCAATTGTTTTGCTTATGTTTCTTAGTGCAATCTATTTACACAAGAGTGCAATCGATTTCTCTCTGGTTAAAAATGCTTCTGTTTTAAAGTGCAATCGATTTGCATGTTTGTGCAATTGATTGCTCACTGAAAATATTTGAATTTTCTGGCTGTTAGAACCCGTGCAATCGATTTGCATCAAGGGTGCAATCGATTGCTTGCTGAACATTTTTGAAAAACAACAGCTTTGAACATACCTTTTCATAACACCACTTCATGGAATCTTTTCATTTAATCTTGGCAATTGTTCATGATTAATTTATAGAAACTTATGTTGTTTCAAAGGGGTGCTATGAACGTATAAATACTGAAATTTCAAAATCGAAAATAATCTCTTCCAATCAATATTTTTCTGAATTTTCAAATATTCAACTCAAGCCTTTTTCACTTTCATTCAAAAAAGTTTTCTGCATATTTTCATATCTTATATAATAGAAAACTTTGAGCAATCTAATTCTTGAGTCATTGTATATCATTTTTATTGGAAGAGAAGATCAAGTTATTGATAAAATCACTCAAAGTGATTATTTCTCTACAAACTCACTCAATTAAAATATTGTTGTACACTTTCTTATTTTTCAGGATTGTTGAAAATAAGACTAGTAGTTTTTGTACTCTTGTTTTCCAGGATTGTTGGAAACAAGTAAGGTCACCTTGAGAGAATTGTTCTCACTGTTGACATAGTGAAAATCCAAGAGGATTGTTCTTGGTCCAAGAGGATTGTTCTTGGTTTTGGTAGTTCTTGTTTAAGTTTTCCAACTATAAGGAAATCTCTTTCATGTTGAAAGGGGACTGGAGTACTCTCGGACTGTGAGGGGAACCATGATATCTCGCTTGTGTCTCTTTATTTTTCTTCACTTTACTCTTTCATAAACTCACCATAAACCAGAAAAATAATATCCATCATCACTAAAACCAGAAAAAATTTAAAGTACCTAATTCACCCCCCTCTTAGGCACACTTTGTACTTACAATTGGCATCAGAGTAGGTTATAGGTAACACGTTCCTAGAGATTCAGAATGGCTTCCGCAAATTAAAATCCTATTTTTAGAGATGGTGGTAGTAACAACAAGCCTCCTCTATTTTGTGGTGAATATTTTGACTTCTGGAAAATACGCATGAAGGCACATCTAGAAGCATAAGGAGAAGAAATATGGGATGCCTTCGAAAATGATCCATTTATTCCTATAACAGTGATCAACGATGCTGGTTCATCAAAGCCTAAAACTGCATGAGATGAAGATGATAAGAAAAAGGTCCTCTATGATAAAAAGGAAATCAATCTTCTTCAAGGTGCACTTAGCATGAATGAATTCTTTCGTGTCTCGGCATGCAAAACGGCGAAAGAAATATGTGATACCTTGGTACAAACTCATGAAGGAATCGTTGAAGTTAAACGATCAAGATTAAATACTTTAAGTCAAGAATACCAGTTATTTCGAATGAAGCCCGAAGAATCCATCCTTAACTTGCAGAAAATATTCGTGCACTTGACAAATCATCTAAGTGCTCTTGGTAAGACTTTAACTAATGATGAACTAAATCTGAAAGTGCTTAGATCTTTAACTAGGGAATGACAACCAAAAGTAATGGTAATTTCTGAAAAGAAAAGTCTTTCTATAATGACGTCTGAAACATTGTTTGGAAAACTTCAAGAATATGAAATGGAACTCAAAAGACTTGAAAAGCATGAAAATTAAGAGAAAAAATCCAAGAATATTTCTTTAAGGGTTAATACCTATTTTCACCCCTGACATATGGGGTGTATTTGAAAAACCCCCCTGCCAAAAAAAAAGTTCCAATTGTTACCTTGACAAATTTTAAAAGTTTCAGTTTTTACCTTGAGGATGCCACATCACCTAAAAGGCTGATGTGGCTTATATTTTTGTTACATTTGTAAGTTTTTGTTATGCCATGTCACACAATACCAAATAAAATGTCCAGAATTCCCTCTTCTTAAAATCCAAAATTATTTGGAAAATGTTATGTTTCAATTCAGACCCTCCAAATTAGGGCGCAGCCATCCATCTTCATTTGTTTGCAAAATTATTTTACAAAAAAAGCCAGTTTCAATTCAGACCCTGTGATTAGGGTTCTTCATCCTTGCAAATGGGTGTGTTTAATTTAGTGTTTCATCATGGGGGAAGTTTCGTGCAAGACGGCCATACGTATTATAGAGGAGGTAGTGAGACTACTGTTGAAGGTCAGGACGAAGATAAATGGAGCTTTTTTGAAGCTGTTAGTCTGGTTAAAGATTGGGGTTATGAAGGTTTTAGGCTATGGAGAAAGATTCCGCAAACGGATGAAGGGTTTACAAATGTTGTTGATGATGCAGGAGCTGTAGAAGTTGCTAAGCATTATATGTCTTGTAGGGTTCACAGTGATCTTTGGGTAGAGCACGGTGTAGAAGACATGATGACCAAGGTTCTGGTACCTAATGTTGATGACTTCAGCACCTCTAGTGGAGATGATAGTACTGGTGACTATGTTGATGCAAGCCAATGTTTCAATGACAGTGAAGAGGAAAGAGTAATTGACGTAGAAGAAGAGCAATTTGTACAAGTGGATCCAAGGATCCCAAAAAGATGAAAGAAAAGAGCAAAAGGGACAAGGTCAGTCTTTTGGTGCCCAAAAGTGTCTTAGGATCTTGTTCAAAGAGGGCTACAAGGAAATGTGAAGATGTGGATTATGCTAGTGAGGAACTTGAAAGTTCAGATGCTGATGAAAGTGACATGGATGACAAACCTTCCAAGCCAAAGTATGAGAAGTTCAGATCAGAGCTGCTTAACAAAGACTTTCAATTCAAATTAGGTATGGAGTTCATTTCTCTTTCTAAATTTAAAGATGCTATCAGGGATTGGTCAGTATTAAATGGTAGAGAAATAAGGTTTGTTAAGAATGAGAGCTGTAGGGTTAGGGTTGAGTGTAAGAGTAAATGTGGGTTTTTGGCATTGTGTAGCAAAGTGGGAGGTAGCCTCACTTACCAGATAAAGACTTGGGTGGGGACCCACACATGTGCAAGGGTATTAAATAACACGTCTGCCAATTCCAAGTGGGTCTCTAAGTTAGTGGTTGAAAAGAGGAAGTCACAAGGGAAAGTTAAACTGTCTGAAATTATGTCTTGAGCTTAGACAGAAATATTCAGCGGGCATTACCAAAGGGAAAGCTTGGAGAGCCAAAGTTATGGCTGAAGAAATAATTGAAGGTGATGCAAAGGAACAATATAACATGTTATGGAGATATGTAGCTGAGTTGAGAAAACATTGTGCTGGGAACACTGTCAAACTAAATACTGAGAGACACCATCCAACACTACCACTAAGATTTGGTAGATTTTACTTCTGTTTTGATGGATGCAAGAAAGGGTTTACCAAGGGTTATAGACCATTTATAGGGGTAGATGGGTGTCATCTTAAGACACAATATGGAGGTCAGTTGTTAATTGCTGTAGCAAGGGACCCGAATGACCAATATTATCCTTTGGCATTTGGTGTGGTGGAGACTGAGACAAAAGAAAGCTGGAGATGGTTTATGCAATTGCTAATGGAAGACATTGGATAAGAGAGAAAGTATGTTTTTATTTCAGACCAACAAAAGGTACAAATATGCACTAATTACCTTTGTTATTCACATTTATGAAACATGCACTAATTCTGCACTAATATGCACTAATTCTACTACTGTAGTATGTCTTAATTCTGGTACTAAAGTATGTGTAATTCTGCACTAATGTGCACTATTACCTTTGTGACATAGTTCTGGTTTATACAAAGTGCACTAATTCTGGTTTATTTGCATAGTTCTGGTTTAGTTGCATATTTCTGGTTAAGTTGCTAATGTACATGCTTTTTTCTGTTGTCTTGCTGTTTTTAGGGACTTGTTAGTGTCTTTGAGGAAATGCATCAGCAAGTTGAACACAGGGTCTGCCTCAGACACCTGTATGCAAATTTCAAGAAGAAATTTGGAGGGGGAGCTGCCATTAGAGACCTATTATTGGGGGCTGCAAAGGCTACTTACTTCCAGGCTTGGGAGAAGAAGATGAATCAGCTTAAACAAATTGATAAGAAGGCATGGGAATGGCTGATGGGAGTGCCAACAAAACTATGGTGTAAGCATTCATTTTCATTTTACCCTAAGTGTGATGTTTTGATGAATAACTTGAGTGAATCTTTCAATAGTAAAATATTACAAGCTAGGGATAAGCCAATACTCACTATGGTAGAATGGATTAGGAACTACGTGATGAATAGGATTGCTAATAGTGTTGTTAAGCTTGATAAGTGGAAGCACAATGTCATACCTAATCCTAGGAAAAGGCTTGATAAGGAAACATATCTTAGTGGAGAATGACTGCCTACATGGAGCAGTGGTGATTTGTGGCAAGTCCATCACCCATATAATGGATTGTAGTTTGTTGTTGATATTGGGAAAAAAACCTGTACTTGTTGTTTTTGGGATCTTGTGGGCATACCTTGTAGGCATGTTGTTTCTGCATTACAGAATCAAAACTTAGATCCTAAGAAATATGTTGACCCTTGTTACATGAGAGAAGCTTACAAGGCATGTTATGAAAACAATGTTAGTCCAATAAATGGCATGGACATATGGCCAACTGTGGATGCTGAAGAATTGTTGCCACCACAATACAAGAAGGGACCTGGAAGGCCTAAGAAACTGAGGTTTAGAGAGTTGGATGAGAATGGTTCAAGGATGAGGAGGGTAGGTGTAGCATATAGATGCACGCATTGTGACAAATTTGGCCATAATTCTAGGAAGTGTCAAGCTAAGGAGCAAGATCCTAATGCACTAAAGAGAAAGGTATTGTGTTCATGAATCTGTTACTGAATAATATTGTGTTCAGCATATTGAAATGTCTTTATTTATATCTGTTTCTGAATAATGCAGAGAAAGACACCCAGGACCAAAGTGTCAAAAAAATCTGATGGGACTGTGGATGAAGGCCCAGAGATGGATGCAAATGTTGATACAACTGAAACTGGAGGTGGAACTGTGGATGAAGGCCCAGAGATGGATGCATTGCTGAATAATATGATGGATCTTTATGAAGAACAACAATCACAAGTTGACAATCCCACACAACCTACTGCTATGCAACCTCCCCCAACACATGAATCACAACCTGCTGCAATGCAACCTCCCCCAACACATGATTCACAACCTGCTACAATGCAACCTGACCCTGCTGCTACTAATGTCAAAAAACCTTCAGCTAGGAAAAAGGCTGTGGCCGTGCCTTGGAAGCGATCAAGAAAGAGAGTCAGTGAAAGATTGAAGGAAGTGAGGAATGCCAAAAGACATGGTGGGCCTGGATCAACACCTGATGCACCTTTGACCATAGGTGAAGAAACTGGTGGTAGCACCTCAAAGAAGATATCAAGGAAGAAGAGGAAGGGCATTGATCAGTAGTTGTGCACATAGTGTGCTATTTTGTAAAATTCAATTTGAAAGTTTCCTGTGTCATTTTGTTACTTTGACTTATTATTAGAACAGGCTTGGCTTAAGTTATGTATCATGTTATTGTCATTTTGTATCACAGATGTACTTGACTATGTATCACAACAGATTTTCTTGACAATGTTAAAGTCATTTTGTATCACATATGTACTTGACTATGTATCACAACAGATTGGCTTAACTATGTTATTGTCATTTTGTACAACAGATTTGCTTAAGAACAAAATTACTTAACAACAGATTTGCTTAACAACAGATTTTGTACAACAGAATTACTCAACAGAATTGCTTAAGAACAGATTTCCAAAATATCAGAACAGATTTCCAAAATATTCCAAAACAGTTTTACTTAACAATATATCAGAACAGACTTAAGCAAATATATTCCATAAGAAACCATAAGAAAGAAATATATTCCATATTCCATAACTCAACTAACCAAAACTCATGAGAGTAATATATTCCATATTCCATAACAAAGAAATATAATTCATGAACTAAATTTTACATAGGTTACAACTTCCTAGAACATAAGCCACAGCTTCATGAATTTTTACATGAACTAAGTAAGAAATGAACCAAAAGACAAATAAACCCAACTAAAACATAATTCAACTTCTTTTTTAACTCATCCATTTTTTTCTCCATGGCTTCCATCTTCAGTGCGATATCTCTCTCCGGTTTGCTCATCAGTTCTACTGAAACTACATCCGAATGGCCGTTATCACCGAAATCATCAGAAAATTCATCATCCCAAACAAATGCGTTGCAGTCATCTCCTTTACCCCATAACTTACACTTCCAGTATTTTCTCTCGGGATTTGCAACCGATTTTGAAACAAATAACTTCATGGAGACATTGTGGCCGCATTTGGGACTTACTCTACCATTTGAAGATAAGCTTGAAGTAGAACAATTTGGTTGACTCATGTTTATGAAATCAAAGAAAACTTAAAGATGAAGAGGAAAGCAAAAGTTGGGTTGCTGAGATGAAGATGGCTGCGCCCTAATTTGGAGGGTCTGAATTGAAACATAGCATTTGCCAAATAATTTGGGATTTTAAGAAAAATGTAGAAAGGGCATTCTGGACATTTTATTTGGTATTGTGTGACTTGGCATAACAAAAACTTACAAATGTAACAAAAATATAAGCCACATCATCCTTTTAGGTGATATGGCATCCTCAAGGTAAAAACTGAAACTTTTAAAATTTGTCAAGGTAACAATTGGAACTTTTTTTTTGGCAGGGGGGTTTTTCAAATACACCCCAAATGTCAGGGGTGAAAATAGGTATTAACCCTTTCTTTAAAGATTGATTCCAAAGAAGTTGAAAAGGAAGACAATCCGGAAGAAGATGAAAATTTCATGCTTCTTGTTAAAAGGCTTGGTAAGTTCTTTGGTAGAAATGACAAATCCTTTTCTCATGCAAAAAGAAAGAAACAACTCAAGAAACAGGAAGCTTCCATATTAACACAAGAAGTCACATGTTATGAATGCGGAAAGCAACGTCATATAAAGCCAGATTTTCCGAAAGCTCTCCAAGAAAGGTGGCTACAAAGGCAAAAAGGAATTTAAGAACAAAAAGGACTATGTTGCATGGGAGGATAATGAGATAAGTTCTTCGTCCGATTTCGATAGTGATGAAAGTGAAAATCTAGAATTGATGGCCTCACACCATTCTGATAGTGAAGATGGTGAGGTATGCTTGAAGACCACATGCAATCTACGGTATCTTGATAGTGGTTGTTCAAAGCATATGACGAGAGACATAAACCGATTTTCAAATCTAGTTCTAAAGGCCAAGGGTTTTATCACTTATGGAGACAACAATAAGGGAATAATTCTTGGCAAAGGAAAAGTTGGTGCTCCACCTTTCACATCCATTGAAGATGTTATTAATGTTGAAGGACTAAAGCACAATCTTCTTAGTATTGTCCAACTTTGTGACAAAGGCTTCAAGATCAAGTTCACCAAAGATGAATGCTTGATAGAAGATGAAGTCATACATGAGGTTATACTTAAAGGTACAAGAATTAATAATATATTTATGATTTCCCTTGATGATCCATCTTTGAAGGTAAACTGTCTCATGGCGAACAATGATGATTCATGGCTTTGGCACAAAAGAATTGCTCATATTCACATGGAACACTTGAATAAATTAATCAAGCATGATCTTGTCATTGGGTTGCCTAAGATAAATTTTGTCAAAGATATACTTTGTGATGCATGTCAAAAATGGAAATAATAGCAATTCAAAAGTGATACGCCTGCCCTCAATTCCGTGTGGAATTGAGATAAGAATTCTTGATATGCAAAAAATCATTTACAAGAGAAATGTAGAAATCTAACCCTACAAACCCTATGTTTGATGATGATCCTAGCAATTTCTCTTCCCTTGATCTGAGTTTGATCAAGTCACCTAACAATACCAATTTGATCCACCGTCTCGCACTAATTCCTTACAAGAAACCACCGTTCTTCAAAGCTTTCACTCTTTCGAATCCAAGTTGCAAATTATTGTCACCCAAGAAATCCTAATGTTTCACCGTCTCATGCTACTTCCTTGCAAGAACCTTCAGTTCTTCAAAGATTTTCACTCGGTCGAATCCAATATTTTTGAAACTTTGTCAAAAACCCCAAAATCCACATTTTGATCTTGGATGAAAACCCTCAAAGTTTTTCCCAATGAGACCCCCAAAAATTCTCAACCCAATCTTAGGTTACACCAACCTAAATTGAACGTTATCAACACAAGTCTAGATGGCACCCAAACAATGAATGATTATGTGTACTTTGTTTGTTTGTATGCATAGATTGAAGGTTGAATATGAAGAGAAATTTTTATATGTGTTTATAGTTCCATCATATGAAAAAGATGCATGTATGAAGTATTTATATATGTGCGATTTAAAGGCAAAAAGGGAGGCTTAGAAATTGAAAATAAATGTAATTTTTCATAAAAATAACAGTATATGTTTACATGTATAGGTCATGTGTCGACATATGTAATGACATGTGTCGACCTATTCAAGTTCATGTGTCGACACACACAAATAGAATCTTACAGGCTTTAAAAATGTAGTACATGTGTCGACCTGAAACACGTATGTGTCGACACATGAATGAAATTTTCCAGCATGTGTCGACACGTATAGGTCATGATTCAACACATGTAATAACATATGCCAACCTATTCAAGGTCATGTGTCGACACACACAAATAGAAGCCACATGCTTTGTTATTGATCCACATATGTTGAGTCATATATCGTATGTGTCGACACATAGTTATATTTTTCATGTAAAAATCATTTTTAATGCATGATGCCTTTTCCAAACATGTTCTAAATGCATTCTAAGATCCCTAATGCAAAGGTGCACACATAAACTCATAGATACCATTTAATATACATAAGTGCTAGTGTATCCTAGTTTTAAAATCATGTAAAACATCTAATGGACAAGTGCACTCACATACTCCTCCTTTTTTTTATAAAAACAAAACTTGCACGATGCATTTCGGGTCTACATGAAGGGTTCCCAATGAATATGTGCATCCTAACTTCATCTCTGCATATGCTTCTCCCCCTTTGTCAACATTTAAAAGAAACAAAGCACAAAAGAGAAGTATCATTATTCACATAAATACGAATATCACTGAGGCGTTTGCAAACGTAAGAACATGCACTCACATATACCCATATACATGGAGTGACGCAAAGATTTAAACATAAATAAAATGACAATACCAAACAACATAATATAAAAGTTGTCACATATTACCATAAAAAGCATAATCATAAGCACAAAGCATTGTCTCACTTTGATGAAGTGGTAGAATTTGTTAATACATAAGCCAAAAAAAACAAACCAACAAACCATGAAAGAGACATAAAATACAAAGTGATTCAAAAACATAAAGTGCATGACATAAATGCATTACCCAAAATGACCTTAAATCAAATCACCTAAGACTTTAAATCTTCAAAACCCTGATGATTTCTATGACCCCTATGTGGTGGCCTGCCACCACGATCCATAGAGGCACACATATCATGTTAAATTGTGAGGACTCCTCATGATTATGAATACCTAGGGTCATCATGCTATTGATTCTACTATACATAGTAGCATTTTTGGTCCCTATTTCACTTCGGATTACAGAAAACTGCTCTGTAGCAAAGGAGGGAAAAACAACAAAGTTTGTATCATGTGCAGTCAAGTGATCTTGAACCAACTGAAAATGCTCTTCTTGAGAAGCCTGAAAATTAGACAGCCAACACATTTGTTCCTTATAGCTCTCATCTTGTTTCACCTATATGTTTTGAAGCATAACAATTATAGGAGACTCATTTCCAACAGTCCCAAAGTCATTACCACGTGAACTAGACCCATATTCTTGAGAACCTTCATTAAACTCTCTTTAGGCATCACCTTGTTGTGTCCAAGCATTTTGTGGCCATTGTCCCTATTGTACCCAAAATTTTTCCCTCCTATTATTCAAGACAAATTAGTTCAATATACCTCCTCATGATCATGAAGGTCTCAATTTCTCAAGACTACTCAAAGATTGATCAGATAAACCCTCCTCCTAAGCATTGACCTATAACTAGGGTTTTGTTTTTCTCAAGGAAAATTGGACTTATAATGACTCAAGTGGACTTCATGGTTTTTAATATATCTCAAGGTATCCTCATACCAAGTTCCAAGCCTTGCAGTACAAGTTTGCTCAGTCAATTAGTCAGATGATTGAAAATCAACTATATTAGACAAAAAGTCAACTTTAACCAATTTACAGTCAAACTTCAAGATTTTTGGTCAACATCAATATTTTGAGGTTATATTCATCATTTATTCAAGGGTTGATCATGACTCATCAAGAAAACACACGATTCATCAAAAGTCAAAAGTTACTAAATTAGGGTTTTCTTAAGGAGACGTCAACTAAA